TTTTACCAGTTCTGCCTATGTGAAGATAAGTCAAAGGTCCTGTTCAACCATGGTTGGCTTCACTTGGAAGCATGGAGGAAATGATTCCTCTGTGTTGACCCTCCTCTTTGTAGACTGGACACTGGTTCAAGTCCATCTGATGGGGTCTCCTCGACCTCCTGGATCAAGAGGACAGGTGAGGCCCAGAGTGCTCCTGGGGACCAGAGAAGGCACTGAGTTGGTCTGGATGCAAAGGATCAGGAAGCAGTGGTGGTTCCCCAGGTGTCTGGGGCCCCAAGACAAGGAATTGGACAGGACCCAGGCTAGGAGGAGAGACCAGCAGGGGAGATAAGAGGGTGAATGAAGCTGGGGGAGTCAAGGTGCGGAGGGTGCAATGGACTTACCCTGGAGAGGGGCCTGCGGGTTGGAGAGAGGTCTGCAGGTCTTGCAGGCCCAGGGAAGCAGAGAGAGGTGAGGGCCGGGCTAGGCCCAGAAGCAGTGCTCCTGGGGACCAGAGAAGGCACTGAGCTGGTCTGGATGCAAAGGATCAGGAAGCAGTGGTGGTTTCCCAGGTATCTGGGGCCCCAAGACAAGGAATGGGACAGGACCCAGGCTAGGAGGAAAGACCGGTGGGGGAGATGGGAGGGTGAATGAGGCTGGGGGAGTCAAGGTGCGGAGGGCGCAGTGGACTTACCCCGGAGCCAGAGGCCTGCAGGTCGGAGAGAGCTCTTGTCTTTTTAATTTGTGTATTTACTTGTTTAACTACCAATAAGGTAATCTCTTTTTGTTAAGTCTTTTTTTCCTTCAAAACGGTTATGAAGCGCTCCTTGACAGGTCCTCTTAAGTCTCATAATTTAGAATGGCATGACCTTTTTGGCACTTATATTTCCCCTGGGTGATAATCACCTGGATATCCTTAAACGGACATTTTATTAAAGGTGGTAGGTTTGGAAAACTACCACTTCTCCCAGATTTTTAAAGAAAATGACCTCTGAGGCTCTGATGGAGGCAGTTAGTTGGAAATTCCAACTGCCTATCCTTTAGATTTTTCTAAGCAGGCTCTGTACTTAGCAGCTGATTGGCTGTTACCAAAATTAAGTGGACTGCTAAATCAGTCAACTGTGAAAACTCAACTCTTAATACTGGGTCTTCAGTCTATATGAAAGAAAACATGGACAAACTGTAAAAAAGTAAAGGCAACTAAGCAGGCATATGTTAGAGGTAATTACAATAATGAATATTAAAATAAGGGCACTTTTCTATGACAGTGATATAGCTACAATTGAATCAGACTGGGGGCCGGGGAGGGGGGAGATAGGGTTCTTTGAGTCAATTCCCAATGTATGGTTGGTGCCAGAGAAGACAAAAATCTCAAGTTTGTGGCTTGTAAATTGTAGGCAATTATGTAAAATCCATAATAATTAAATGGCATTGGTAAATAGAGTAATTTAACTGTTGTCAGTTTAACTGATAAAGAAGTTGAAAAGACTGCTGTTTCCCCCTATGTAGCTTCCAACTTTGATTCTGGCCAGTAAAAAGAGCTGGTAGAATTATATTATAAGATGAAACATCTGAATTTAGTGAACTGAAATTTATATAACTAAGAAAAAGTTGCAGAGGTAATAGTCACCAAGTGCTTACTCTGTGTATAGAAGCTGTCAGATATACTAAAACACAACATTATGGAGTGACTGTTATGCTAATTTTACTGACTAGAAAATGTACTCAAAGAAGCAACTTACTAAATAAAGACCAAACATTTGTGGTCAGAGATTATCCAATCTCAAGTCTCTGGCCTTTTCATTAGCTATGAAATGCCTATTGAAAGAAGAAAGAATCAGCTTAGGAAAAATTTTAATATTTAAGGAAGACTGAGCCTAGTGTGACAAGCTAATGGTGAACATATTTACTCATTTTAGTGTCAGGTCAAATATAATCATATAATCAATATACTTTAATTTTTTATTTTGTGGCATTTGTGTACTAACTAAATCTATTGAATCCAGAAACCTTGACTCTAAGCCTATCTGTCAGTAGGTAGTAATGAAGTTAGAGCATGTTTACTAAATCAACCCTAAAGTACATTCCATCTCTAAACTAAAAGAATAAGTAAATAAGGCTGGAACACTGAGCAGAGGTGTGCAACTAGTAACAGACCCCCAGAGAGCCCAGAGACCACTTCAGCTGCCTCCCTTGAGTTAACACTCTCATCTCCTTCCTCTGTGAATGTTTAAAGTCTTTCAAAATAAGTTTTCAGTTCCTCTGTTAAAGATAAACTACAACCAGTTCCAATAAAATGAAATTAGCAATTTTATACCTATTTGAAAAAATGAATTGACACAGCTTTAAGGATAACTTAGAAATATAGGTTGTCCAAACTGGAGACCTGGACTACAGTGCATGTCCATCAAAGGGGTGAGGAAAGTTGGCAGGTTCTAATAATGGTGTTATGTCAATTAATTTTAAGGTTTAGGGAAATAATATAAGATTTTCTGGTAGGAGCACTATTTTCTAAATTTCACCATGATCGTGTCTTCACTTAATATTCAATTTATTCTTACATAGAAATATAATTTAGCAAAACACCACACTGATATACAGTCAATGTACTATTGGCTTCTTCTTTCCTTGTGACAAGTTGTTTTTCCAAGTGACTAAAAAATGGACCTTAAAAAATTTTGCTGAAGGCATTGTTTAGCCAACACTCAAGAGGCAGAGGCAGGTAGGTCTCTGTGATGTTGAGGCCAGCTTGGTCTACATAGTGAATTAAAGGCCAGCCAGGGCAATGTAGTAGGACCCTGTCTCAAGATGACAATAACAACAATAAAAACAAACAAATAACTTCCTTGATTATAAGTAAAAATGATAAAAATGTTACTAAGTTGTATACATAGAGTCTAACAAATATCTGAACTTTTGTCATCAATTGAATGTATTTAATTAAGTAAAGCTATTTAAAAAAAATTTTTTTGAGGGGCTAGAGAGATGGTTCAGTGGTTAAGAGCACTGACTGCTCCTGCAGAGGACCTGGGTTCAGTTCCCAGCACCCACATGACAGCTACAAACCGTCCTTAACTACAGTTCCAGGGGAATCTGAAACGCTCTTCTGACCTCTGCGGCACTGCACAACACGGGTGCATTTACACGCAGGCAATACGCTCATATACATAAAATAAAAATAATAAATAAAATATTTTTAAAAAGTTTTTGAGATAGGGTCTTCCTGTAACCCCAGCTAGCCTTGAACTCCCTGTATAGACCAGGCTAGCCTCAATCTCACAGAGATCCCCCTTCCTCTGCCTCCCAAGTGCTGAGATTAAAGGCATATACCACCACATCCAGCTAAGCAAAGCCAATTTAGAGGGAGGGGAAAACACTGAGTAATTTGTTCAGCAGTTATCAGGAACTTCCCAGGTCAAGATTTCAGACCATTTAGAGTTGGCAAGTTAGTCTTGTGCTTTTTTCTTGGATGCTGACAAAAGACACAAGATTCCTTGGTCAGAGACAAAGAACTTTATGACTCATAGACAAAACTGTAACTAGGCTGTCAGCACGAAACTCATTCCAATGCCCTCACTTCCAAAGCCCAACAGAGGTGCTAATCTATCATGAATGCTGTGTTGGTTTTCTAGGGCTACCATAACAAAGTTCCACACACCAGGTGGCTTAAACAATAGAAATTTATCTTTTTCACCATTCTGGGGCCAAAAGTCTAGGTGATATGATTGATTTCTTCTGAGGCCATGAGAGAAGAATCTGTTCTGGCCTCTCTCTTTGATTTGTAGATAGCCATCTCCTCCCTTGTCTTTACTTCATCTTCCCTCTGTAGAAGTCTATGCCCAAGTTTCCTCAGCTTATAAAGACACCAGCCATATTCAATTAGATCCTACTTTAATGACTTCATGCTTAATCACTCCTTTAAAGACCCTATCCCCAAATAAGATTGCATTCTGAGATGCAGGACTTCAGCATATGAACTTTGGCATAAATGACTCAGCCCATGATAGATACTTATACAGGTAGTTAAGACACATCACAGGAGAAGAAAAGCCACCATATAAAGAAGACCACTGTTGCCCAGAGTACCTCACGCCATCCATCATGTCTGTTGGCTGCAAACACAACCCTGAGAAAACCCTGGAAAGAGGTCAGGACCTCACATTCTTAGTATGCCCAGTAAGAACAAATAAGCATGCTTGGGACCATGTGGATTGTCCCTACCAAAGTCATGCAGTACAATGCCACATTGACATCATCCTTAGAGCCTTTATTGATACAGATTCTAATTTATGTAGTAGTGATCTTATCTCTCCATAATTATTGAAGAAAAACCTGAGCTTTCTCTGTTTGCTAGGATTATATTATTACAAATTTTTAGTACCAATTAGGTGATACATTTAGAACTTAGTCAAATGTTGTCTGTTGGGGGTGGGGCTTTGTTAGTTGATTGGTTTGGTTTTGGTTTTGGAGCCAGGGGTCAAACCCAGAGCTGTGTGTTTGGGTAGGCACTCTACCACCAGCCCTATGATCTGCTTTTAACAGGTAATGGAAAATATTTTTAACTTGTAGAGATGATTTCTTTACCACTTTGTAGTTATTTATATCAAAAGTAACTCAAAGATATTTTCAGAGTAACCAAATGGAAATAACTCTTATCTATTCCAACAGATGGCGTCTCTACTTACATATGTCATGATTTTACTCTTGAATGTGTTTGAACTTTCAATGGGAATAGTTTATAATAAAGGTGAGTGGCAGGCTGTCTGTTATGTCCTTCTCGGTAGTTCGCATTCATGCACCATCCCCATTTTCAGTGGTTTTTCCTTTAGCATTTCTCCTTTACATCATCTTCTCATTGTTCCCAGACACTATGTTTTACTCTGGCCTAAGATTTTTACTAACATCATTGTGAACTTACTGTTACTAAGTTGTGTACGTAGAGACTTTTGTTATAGTGTTTTATCACTTCCAAGTCATAGAATACTTAGCATTAAAAACAGATTTCGCATTGGCAAATTTTTTGTTATTTGAACAGATATAAAACTCTTTCCTCTGTGTATGATTTCATATAGTATGAGTTATCAGGCTAGTACATCAAAGGGAGAATCTCCTGAAACCAGAATGCAAGTAGAAGTAGTCCATAAAACTTTTGTAATAGAAAAACTTTGCAAAGGAATAAGACAAAATCACATCCATTTGTGCATTTTTTGATCCTGGAATGGGTCCTAGAACACAGTGTTATTGACTGAATGGATGAATAGAAGGATTCAGACCTTCTGTTCACAGATGTGTTACAGAATTGGATGAGTTCTGGAATGACCCTGTTTTTAGTTCTCATGTTGTACTAGAGAATATATGACATATGTGGATATAATCCAACATGGGAGAGTCCCAGGCATACTGAAGGGATTTCAGAGAAGGAAGGGGTCACTGCCAGCTGTGGGGAAGAGGGTGTTAAGGAAGGCTCTGCACAAAAGAGAATGCTCCATCTAGGTCCCTAACATGGGTAAAATTTATATATGAACATACAGCGAAGAATATCCTACAAAGGTAGTGTAGGGTACATGTTAAACAATAGTGTGGAAGTAGCAAATCGCAGGGTGTGAGGGGATCAGCACATAGCTCAGTTCAAGTTGAATGAAGCTTAGATGTCTTCTGCAAAGACAAGGCTGGTGCTTGAATGTGAGGCAGAGAAATACTGTCTTCAATCTATAATCATCGGGAAGCCATTTAATATTAGGTAGGACAGTGACATACCATAGTGATGTTTAGATCAACATGGCAGCATTGGGTGAGAAAGACTTTTCCTCTGTCCTGTCATGTTGCATGGCTGATGTTTATGATCTACGAAGAGATAGATCAACAAGAGAAAGAGCCTATACATTTCATTTGACATATTTTATATGGGTCTTAGTAGAAAAGAGTGAAACTCTAAAGAAGTACTTTTTCCTATGGTCTAATGCACCATTTCAACAAAGAGTAAGAGTGACGAATTGGGGAGATGGGACAAGAAAAAGTGAGTTGGGGCTAATAAATAGACAGAAAGTTACCAGGAAATATGCAGAGGTAAATAATGAAAGATAAGCACTGTTTTAGTAAGTTTGTAAAGATTCAGGGTCACCTCTATTTCTAGTATCAGGAAAGGTATGACACATTCCTCATGGGTATTTTTTTTTTTTAAGATAGGGTCTCCTGTAGCCCCAGCCAACCTGGAATTCACTATGTAGACCAGGCTGGCCTCAATTTCATCGAGATCCACCTGCCTCCCAAGTGCTGGGATTAAAGGTATGTGCTACCATGTCCGGCACCTCATGGGAATTTGATATCCTGCCTTTGGGTGGAAATCAGGGCTCTTTCCTTTCTTCACCTAATGTTTATTAGTTCCTTCAGCTTGGAATAATCAGCATGCCAAAGTGGCTTATTTGAGGGGGGTGGGCAGCATGGTCTGATCTCTTCCAACAGTACCATGTGAAAGGAACTGGTGGAAAGGCTGGAGTTTTACTGCTTCTGGTTTCAACTTTGTTGCTACAACTCTGTAACTGTGAGCAGCGCATTGGTCGAATTTCACAAACAATACTGGTTCTCCAAGTTTGTCCCAGGATAGACTTTTTATTCTATTTAGAACAGACATTCCCTTACATTTGTATGATGTCTCAAATGTCTGGATGTATACTAAAGATGTTAAAAATGTACCCTATCTTTCCTAGTTAGAGGCTCATAAAAATTATTTTTTCCATATCATTGTTAAAGCAGAATCTCACAAACTCTATAATCCGAGGTTCTCGACAAAGATATCCTGCAGGCAAAGGTACAGAAGTTGAGAATTGTTTCTTCTCTGACCACAATGTCACTGTGATTGTCCCTGACTCATCTTTTATAACCCAAGCACAAAACTGCCTGTCGATTTGACTGACATGCAATTCATAAAGTAATACCAACACAAGACCCATGCAAACAAACCACACAAAAACCCAGCGAGAAGTGGGGAAATGGGTAAGAAATATGAATTTTAGCTGAGGATCTATTGGCAACTGATCACTGCTGTGTGAGGGAGAATTGATCTTTAAGGGAGTGATGCTAGATAGGTTGACCAGGCTCCAGTGGATGCATTCACATGGAGGGACTTTTGGAGACAGAAACTTGACTCATTAAGCCTTAACATATATAGTACAATGCATGAAATTTGGTCATGGGGGGGGACATTTTGGGGGGGTGCAAATAGGAGAGGGCGTCTAAATATGATCAAGATGTATTACTTTAAATGCACAAAAATTCAATTAAAAATTTTAAAGAACATAAGATTTAGAAATATCAAAATATTATGTTACTGTTAAAGAAAATCATTATTTTAAGAATCCTGATATCAAACAATTACAATTTATTGAGAGAAACTTTGGAAAAATAAAATCTTCATGATTATAAGTATGGCTGAAGGCAGTCTCAGTACTCCAAGTTTTTAGATTGGCATCCTAAGTTATATTTTTAGAAATTTATAGAAAAATATTTGGCTGACTTTGATTTTTCTTAGAATGAGATCCATATCCTGGGTTTGAGATGTGCTTTCTACAGGCATGCCACGTAAACCAGACAATATGGGATAGACCCTGAGTCATTTAGCCACATTTTTATTCTACTACTTGAAGTCCATGAGAGAAATTGTAAATGTTTTTGAATTTAAAATGCTGATTAAATTTTCATATAGATTTACTGGCAAAAAATTTAAGATTAAAAGAACCAAGACTGGGGCTGGAGAGATGGCTCAGTGGTTAAGAGCACTGACTGCTCTTGCAGAGGACCCAGGTTCGATTCCCAGCACCCACATGGTGGCTACGAACCGTCCTTAACTCCAGTTCCAGGGGAATCA